TACACCAAAACCTTTATCTCAGGGGTGCCCACAATTTTGGTGTTAAGATCTACTTTTCAAATGACGAACTACATGAGATCTACCAATGAAAGAAAAACATCCCTCTCTCTCTCTCCTGGCTGTCATTCCTCGTTTTCTCTCCTGGCTGTCTCTCTTCGCTCTCTTGGCTGTCTCTCCTTGCTCTCTCCCCTGGCTGTCTTTCCTCTCTCTCCAGTCTGTCTCTTGCGGCTCTCTCTCCTTGCTCACCTTGCTGTATTTTGCAAACAGTGCAGTGCAACAGGCTGTGTAAATTAATATTCTTTGAAGTAATACATAGCACTTCAACCACCAGTATCCACCAGAAAGGTGTCAGGGAGCTTGGCTCAGCAGACTCAGGCTAATAGGTAATCATGTGTGCACATCTAAATAAATATACCAAAATGGAATAAAGGGGCCACCATTCACACCCTTCGTGATCTACAAGCATCAGCTTTGAGAACTACTGGTAGATAACGATCTACCTAATGGGCATCCCTGCTTTATCTTCTCTCTAAATTATCTTGTTTGCTATAATAAAAATCCAGTATAAGTGGTAAAAAAAATTCTGGGTTTAACCAATAGTTTTTGGCATATAAGTTCTTAATGGTCCAAACAACTTGGGGCATGGGAGAGGTGTGTCCAATGCCTAAATGCATTGTATTCCAAGGTGTTCCTCTTTCTCATTTCAGAAAGTAGAGATGGAATGACTGTGGGCTGCACAAGAAAATACAACTAGAGATACCAATTGAACAGTCGTGTAGATCCATTTCCTCTCCCTGCAAACAAACTTCCATAACCCCTTGAACAGAATTCAATGCATGATTTTTGAGTACCTTGTATAAGTGTACGGCTAGTAAATTGGTCAGGATTTTTGTGTAGTTTTCCCAGATTGAGAAAAATAGCAATGAGTGTGTCCGGCATTTAAGCTGTATGCTAATGAACTCGAAATTCTCATTAACCAGAACTTCCATGTATTGCACCAATCTTTTTGAGTGGTACTTATAAACCTCTGTAGACTATTCAAGCAAGTTTCCTTCGGGCATGGAAGGATTTCATTGTTTTGGCTATTTCTTAAATGAACACTGCATTTAAATGTTTTAAGATATAAAACTGGAAACTCACTCTAATTTAGATTTGGTTAATGCTCATCATCTGGTCTGTTATTATTGGGTAAATGAAGGGATTTAAAAGAAAATGCAAACACTATATTAACAATAACAATATTAACAATTTAGAGCTTACTGGGGCAGACCTCTCTCAGTTTCTTCTCCAGCCAAAATACAAATTCTTTGGGTTTTATATATAGCAGGTTTTTGTAAGGTTAAATGATCAGTAAGTGGAACATAAGGGAATTTGTCTGGTAAAATAGTTAATATATTGTTATTGCTGAATACATACAATCTCCAATGCTCTAGTGAGTTGCAAAAGATGAAATATAATTTGCTCTAGAACATTAGAGAGATATAAAAACCTTGACTGCCAGTGATTTGCTCTATTCTATCTCCAATATTCTCTATTGAGTATATTGGAGAGATTAATTGAGATACCCTGAATCGTTGCTGGTATTATCAAAGGAACTTATACCCTGGATTGAGTTCTGGTTTTACCTACTGAAGTGAAGGGAGAGGAAATTAGAAAGCTTATACTACACTAAAACGCTATATGACCATCCTGAAAAGGGGTAATTGAATCTGGTGAGTGTGGATCCTGCTTTATCCATTTTACTGACGGTGGAAAGGAGCACTAGAGGTGGCACAGAACAATTATGTTTTATTTTTTTTGCATCATCCAGCAGGTTCCAGATCCGAGTGGTTAACATTGGGACTTTTATTTGCACATGTCAATATTTTATGACAGAAATTTGTTATTTTGCACAAGCCACTATTAACACTATCAGGGTTTTTCACAAAAGGGTGAAGAGTTTGGAGAGGGCAGGAGAAGTGAACAATCTAGGCCAACATAGCTGAACTGGAAAGTGAGCTGACTTGGAGAATTTTTCCAAATCAGCCATTTTGGCCTAGATTGTTCACTTCTCCTGCCTTCTCCAAACTCTTCACCCTTTTGTGAATAGCCCTTTATATATAGTGGATGGTTTTATCTGAATTTTGATATATATTTATATTTGAGCACTTTAATTGGTGAATCAAACACATTGAATTGTGTCAGGCACTTTATTTATGTGCAGTTTTTTTTATAGATGTATTCACCTGTTAAGCACAGCGCACAATTTCGCTGTTAAGCGCACCACTCTCACCGTTAGGCTCTATTCATACCAGCACATTTGGAATTCCATCCTCTTTTTTGCGCGTTCATACACGTGGACACAAATTTGCAATGTTTAATAGATGCGCAGGTTTCCCCACGTCTGTGGCTACAACCACAGACAGAACACACGGAATTTGCCCAGAAAACCATGCATATAATTTTTGCCACGTGTTTGTACGCGTGTGAAAGAACCCCATAAGAATGTATTGCTTTTTGTGTTTTGCGTGTTTAGACACATTTAGACGCATATACACTGAGTGGCCAGATTATTATGACCACCTGACGTTTGTGGTCAAATTAGCTGTAATTAGCTATAATTTCGCGCTGAAGTTGCTAGAGGGCCAGACCATTATCGATAGGGAAGCAGGTTGTTTACCACGACAGTAGAAGTGATTTTTTTCTGAAGATATGGGTAAACAACGCGATTTAACAGCCTTTGAACGTGGGATGATTGCTGGCGCTCGGAGCCATGGAGCGAGTATCAGCAAAACAGCAGAATTCGTTAAATGTTCAAGAGCAGCTGTTGTTAAAGTGTTTAAAAACTGGACTGTCAGCCGAAAATCTGGGTCTGAATGTGCGAATTGTGGCCGTCAGCGACTAGTCAATGTCAGGGCAGAACGGAGAGTGGCAAAACTGGTACAAGACAACAGCAGGGCAACAGTGCAGTGTCAGATTCCTCGCATCACCTTTCAACATCTCGTGGAGTCACGAGGCGGCCCAACGAAGTCATCAGGTGGAGTCATCTCGTGGCCCAACGAAGTACTGATGGGGTGGTCATAATAATCTGGCCACTCAGTGTAGATATGCGCAAGAAAACGCTCAGCTGTGAACCAGGCCTTAGGCATGATTTGGTCATGCCAACAGCATGCAGCAGAATTGTTCTCTTTCATGTGCCCCAGTGTCTTTTACAATCCTAGCAATCCTAGCCCCTGGATATATGTCCATTCCCAACAGTGTCTCTGCATGCCTACAGCACTTTAGTCTCTGCCATGACTATGCGGTCGGAAATTATATCAATCTGCCCCATGTGCATGCACTCAGATTCTGTGACCTGCACTCTACAGAGAAGGAGGCAATTAAAAATTCAGGTGCTGATGCTGCAACTAAACTGAGTCAGCATAATGAAGGAGATATGTAAGAGGTGCTGACTTGGATTTTTCCCCCCATTATATCTGATTATGTGGCTTACGATACCTTCCTACTAGGGTTGATGATCGTGCTCGCTGCCCTGTTGGGTGCATGGCAAACTTTGCATGTTCGCTGTTCTCCAAAACAACAAACTTATGGACAAGTTTGCCCTCTGTATGCACTGATGACATTTTTGTACCTGCACATTCAATCTGTAAGAGGTGCTGACCCCCTCATGGATTGAGGGGGGAATTTCTACTTTAGGAGGTGGAAAGAGGAATTTTTGGCAATATATACTCAAAATTGACCACTGTCTGTATTGTCACAGCTGACCATTTGTTGCTCTCATATTGTAACATTTGACCATTTGTTGCTCTCCTATTGTAACATTTGACCATTTGTTGCTCTTCTATTGTAACATTTGACCATTTGTTGCCTGTATATCTAATTACCCATTTGTGGTCCATGTTTGGGCAGAATTGCCTATAAATATATGTATTATATATTTATACAACCCCAATTCCAAAAAAGTTGGGATGCTGTGTAAAATAGGGGATGTTACACTGTGGTAAACATGGCCCTGTCCCAAATTTTTTGTGACGTGTTACTGCCATCAATTTCAAAATTACTTAATTTTTTCTTGAAATTGTACATTTGTACAATTGTACATTTTCTAGATTTAAATATTTGATATGTTTTTTGTTTTCCATTGTGAATAAAATATGGGTTTATGAGATTTGCAAATCATTGTATTCTATTTTTATGCAGATTTTACACAGCAAGTTTTTTGGAATTGGGGTTGTATGTATTTAAGAAACACGTGAATTTTATTTTATAGCACACCACTTTTATTACCATGTTTCAGTACTGTGCACTGTGTGCGCTGTTATTAAGCCCTTGTGTATTTTTTTTTAGTTTGCTGTTATTATCCTTGTGTTGTGTTGCTTTTTCTGCCCATGCTTAAAATGTGTTCAATTATGTGTAGAGGGTATTAAAAAACAATCCACCCAGGTATCAATTAAGCAAGGTATGCCACTGGCAATGGTGATAGTGATGCAGGAGGAACCAGGATCTCAGCTGTAAAGATTTAGACCTAGAAAGATATTAGAATCCAGTAGGCCAGTGGTGGTGAACTTTTTTTTGAAGGATCCACATAATATTTAGATTATGCAATGCTGCAGAAAGCTGTCAAAGACTGCAAACTTGCTACAAGACATGGTCAGAGACTATGGGCATGCTACAAGAAATGGTCAGAGACTGCTTGCATGCTAAAGGAGTTTTTAGGGACTGTGATCATGCTATAGAAGTTGTTGGAGACATACTTCAGGAGACATAAACTAGAGACACATTACACGAGGCTGCTAGAGATCTTTGCTATCATTGCTATTACAGGGCAAAACAGAATACTGCCCAGGGTTGTAGGTAATAACTCTCTTTTGAGTACCCTCATCTTTTGACATGCAAACAATGTTACGTAAACATTTGAATGTACGAATGAAACGAATGAATACACAAAATTAAACATGAAGGAAAATGAATGTATTAGGTATATGGTTATCAATTTAAGCACATGAAAAAATTTCACCATTTTAGTACAAATCAGAGATGCGTCTAAATGAGCCAACCCTGGCATTCATGGCTCCCCAATCAGTAAATCTCCGGTATTCCCCACTTTTAAGGAGATACTGGCGCCCCCTGTAATTGGGTTGTTCAAAAAAGATCCAATGTCCTTCAAGAACATTGCAAGAGTGTATGTCATGGTAATTAAATTCTTCATTCACATGGGGGCAATCTTCAGTGAATTCCCTCATCTGACCTCTGAAGTCTTCTCTCTCATAGATCCTGAGTCTGTAGGAGCCACAGTGCTGTAGTAGAAAACAGAATTGGATTAATTAGCTTTTTTTTTTAATAAGAATTTTATAAGTGACTGCCATTGATAAATTATAATGTTGCCCTTCTGCCCAATACAAGTACAACTAAATTCACTGTCTTTTCCAACTTTTGGATGGTGCAGTCTGACAATCTGGTTGTTTTAGTTTTAAATAATATATAAAACAGATTGTTTTGGATAACATTTTCTTTTAATGTATTTCATGAGCAAAATTGTTTTATATATAAAAGTATTAATTTTAGGTGCAATTCTCTTGCATGTGTCTACACTGGCTAAAACAATTTGCAATTTTTTCCAGATAATTACTCCTAAAATCCAAATAAGTTTTACAATCCTGATCCTTAACAAATGATTTTGAAATCATTGTGCCTATTGTGAGTAATCAAACAATGAAGCAATGTCTCAAATGGAAATACCATAATAATTAGAAATTAAGAGCTGTTATTGCTGTTTCTGACCTTATTTGAGAGATTGTTTCTTACTTCCTGTCAATTTAGGTGGTTGAAGGCAGAACAGAAAGTGAGGGAACACCCCAATGTGGATACAGGCAGCCACACGGAAATTCTTTTTAGTAGAGGGAGAAGGTTTGAGTAGCTCTATCCAGATTTTACTGTGACCCCACAAGGGTCTTTTCCCCAAAGAAGAAGCACAAAAATATTCACAAGTAATTCAGTCTTAGGAGTACAATGTCAGTTTTAACTGGACATCAAAAAGTTGAAACACTCTTCATTGCCTTTTAAATATCATGCCCTAGGAACAACACTCAGTCAGGTTTAGACTGAGCAATTGTGTTTACCTTGCTAAATTTTGCTTAGGGATAAGAGCATGTCTAATATTATATTTGTGAATTGGTAACTTATATGTACTTTAATATTGCTACCCAGGATTTCTATGGATTACAGTGCAAAAAAAATTACCAGAACTTTAGTATTGATAATATGACTTGTGTATGTGGTCTAGATGGGTGCTGTTTAAGGATTCTGCAACCTATAGGATGTCTCCTGATATGTCCTGAGCCTGTGGGTTCTCATACTGTGGCAAATGCCCCCTATATTTTTCCTTTGTTCTCCATTTCCTTATGGCTGGTTGAAGAGATCCAACTATGATCTACTTGGTGTACTTTCTGCTTGATTTCGTATTTGTTTAATTTTTCATATCAGAGTCAGTATTCGGGGGACCAAGGGTGCTCCCACTCCATTTTTCCTTTTCCGTTTCTCTTTTCCTTTTTCTTCCTTTCATTTCTCTTCCTTTTCTCTTCTTCTTTCCCTTTTATGTTTCTACTTTATCCAGTTTTGCTTTCCTACTCTTCCTTTATGTCTTATCTTCACTCTCATCATTTACAGCTTCTGCTCTTCTTGTGCCTATATGGCCCACCTCTACTACACACTCAGACTATATGCTTCTTTTGCTACCTTCAGGGGCCCTGCCACCAATATCCACTTATTTAAACTCAGTGTTGTTTGTATTATCCTTATGTGCCTGCCATTTGATTATATGTCCATACGGTAATACTAAAAACCTTGTTGCCATTTGTTTTTCACGCCAGTTTACCGTATTATGTAATAGGGCATGTCCATTGCTCTTTGTTGTACCATGACCTGTACTGTGAGGCCTTTACCTCGATTCTATGTTACTTTGATGTATACCATTCGACTCTTATTTGCCCTTGTATTTTTGGTTTACTGTAATTTATTTTCTTCTACATCAATAAAATACTTTGTAGTGATAGAAAAAAAATCCCAAAACATCAGAATATAGCTAGACTACTTGTTTATATGAATTTTAAAAGCTGCTGTTGAAAACTAAAAACAGCAATGGTCAGCCTGATAATAGAAGTAGATCTGCAGTTCGCAACAATAATGTGCACGTCTTTATCCAGCTTTCTCATATTGAGCTATTGACAGTGCATTCACTTTTTTTCTTTCCTATGATGATTGCAGGAAAGGCAGATTTGGTTAATGTTACACAATACTCATTGCTGCAATTTATATTTATGAGGCCAGAGACAGGACAACATGGACCACATTGCTAGCAGAAAACGCATCCTCACTTTGCCTCATTTTAGATTTCCCAGTAAAGGTGTTTACTGTAATCACATTTCTTTTACCTGTGGGATTAAACAGCAGGACCTGATGGAATCACTTAGACCAGACCAGTGCTGACAGTCAGGATAATCTCCCTTCTTCACAAAGTACTGCTGCCCGGTGTAGTTGGGACGTTCATAAATCATCCAATTTCCATTCTCAACACGAATGGAGTTGCAGCGACTGAAGTATGAGTTTAGTTCAGAACTGTCAGTGATGCAATCATGGGAACGGCCCTGGAAGTTCCTGTCCTCGTAGAATATTATCTGAAAACAGATTCACATGTTTTTTCAGAAATATAAGAAACAGTAACACCTTGGAGGGAAGCCCCAATTTGTTATAGGGTAAAAAGCCCACAAAAATAGATGAAACTGGCTACGTCTTGAAGGCTACAACCCTCTTCATCTTGTAAGGGAGGTGGTAGACCACAGAATGTTACCTGTATTGTCTAATGCTGTGGGCTTTGCATCTCTGATGAAATTGGGCTTCTCCCCCTAAATTGCATGAGCACTTTGGCTATTTGCTGACATTTTGGGTACAACTCTACAAAGTTGTGATCATAGAATGCAGTTTGCTCTTGTTTTTAAAGCTGTCCATTAGAGATAAAGAAAACATTTAATGCAGTGATGTAGTCACTAAAATTAAATGTATTTTGAAAATAAGCAGTTGTAAGTATCAGAACATGTTACTTATCAGCCTCTAATTATGCCCTTTATAGCAGCATTAAGAAATCAGTAGACAAGCTGCATTTTTATGCATTGGGTACCAGCCCATTTGCATAGTGTGAACAAAATGAAGCACAATTGTTCTCTCAGTGTGCTTGTGTTGAGGGTGCATTGGTCTAGCTGATAAACCAAACTCAATGCACTTGGTGGGAACCTAAATGTAAATAAGCATGGTTCTTTTACTCATATAGACATATATGCCTGTGTGAATAAAAGTGTGCATGGTGAATATCTCAGTACTTGGCAATGTAGCTCATTACTGTGTGTCGTTGGGGCTATAATTCTATAAGCAACACATGTCTATCAAATATTGCGGGAAGGTAATAAACGTTCCATTGGGCATTTTCTAGTTTTGTTAAAAACCAGCCATGGGTATTGACAGATGATTGTGCATAGGTCTGTGAAGTTTATAGCACTAAAATATAAATATCCTCTTAATATAAATTGAGTACCCCCTCCCCACAAAAAAGCACAGCTAAAAAATAAACTAAAGGGGAAAAAAGTTAATAAATACAATTAACCTGTCCCTGGTTTTGTCCGTAGTGCTTAGGTGAGGGTGACGTCCCACTGCTTTGGTAGGAACCCGTGAATGTTGAGCACACCGAATATCTCTGGAAGCTGCTCCTGCACAGTGACGGAGTGTCATCTCTTGTGATTTGGAATACTCAGCAGTCCTCAGGATCTCACCGGAAGGAGTGGGACATTACCCCCTACAGCATGGAAGCCAGGAGTAAGTTAAGTATATTTGCTAGCTTTTTTCCCCATGGGTTTTGTTCTGACTTTCATTCATTGATTTGTCATGAGGGAGGGGTCCTGATTTCTAAAGCAGACTTTGTTTGGAATTACAAAGTCCACTTTAATGAGCAATACACATTACATTAGGAGGCAATGCTGGGGCATTCTACAACATTTAGGCAGCATTTACACAAGTACACTGCTGTATCGCAATAAAATGCTATATAAATGGTCTGCCTTAACACCACCCACTTGCGTAAATATACAATAAATGACATTCCTATGTATTTACTATGTTTGCTGTAGTTGGCAAAGGGTTATCTAGGTGTGCTCTAGATCTGGGATCAAGCTCAGTTACACTGGCAATAAACCAATAGAATCTCATTTAAAAAAAGTGTTTTCTGAACATTTTTTTGATTATCTAAAATAGTTAATGGAGTTAAATTGATGATCGTTTTCAACAATAGTGATGAACAAAATCAAATGCTCAAAATGGAAATTGTTTTCTCAAACTAATAAAATTATACCAATTAATCTCTTTTTGTCCAGGAAGCACCGTTCAATGCAATGTTCTGATTAGATTTTTAATATGAACATTCATATGAAAATCTATCAGTATATGGCCAGCTTTAGTCTGATAGCTGACTTCTGAATAGTTGCTGCACACCATGACTTTACACTTGTTTATAAATGTAACCATTTGTATAATAAAAATATAAAGGTTTTAAAAATATACAGTTAAATGACTAAAAAAAAACCAGTAACAGTAATAAATAATATTTTTTGGGGTATTTGCAGAAAAGTATACATAAATATGCACACACACAGTTACCTTTCCCATCTTGGATTATAATGTGGTGGCATGTAGAGAAATGAACAGTTAATTTATAGTTGTTACTAACAGTATACTTTGCATAACAATGGCTTAATTAAATAGAATGTAGATCGAATTGACAGAGTCAGCACTGTTCTCATCATAGGACTGAAACACAACAAAATCACCAACTCAGGCAACTTGTTTTATTTCCTCTGCAATACTATTTAAACTGAATAGAGTGAATGCTCAAACAGCTTTTGTTTATCAGGTAGTTGTTTTATAAACAACTATTTTTTTAATGTGGTTGTTTCATGAACTACTTAATATTAACAACCTGAGAAATTGGGTCTTCTGTAGCCTCAAAAAATATATTAAAACTTTTGTAGAGCTAATGCATTTTGCCTTTCTTTAGATGCTTAGGGGTCTATTCACGAAGCTGCCGAAAGATCTAGCCTTAGCTTCGGCCGATCCTTCGGCTAGCTTCGGCCCCAGGGCCCCTTCGGTTCAGTAGAACCGAAGGGCTGCTGTACGGGCTATTCACTATAACCCGTACAGCTCCCAAATGTGGCCGAGCTGCTCAGTCGAGCCGAATGCATATGCCTCGTGCTGAAAGCCGAAGCTGGTTGAGCGGCCGACCATTGGCCGGCCGACAGCCTGCTTCTGACAGCTGGGCGGGCGCAGTCGTGATCTTACGGCTGGCCCCAGGCCACTTGCAGAGAGATCAGCGTCCCTGGTTAACAGCTAACCAGGGACACTGATCTCCAAACAGCTAACTCTCCCTGGCGCTCCGGGAGTCTCCTGCTCCTGGCCGCCAAGGAGAGAAACACTGCTGTTTCACTGGCAATAAACCAATAGAATCTCATTTAAAAAAAGTGTTTTCTGAACATTTTTTTGATTATCTAAAATAGTTAATGGAGTTAAATTGATGATCGTTTTCAACAATAGTGATGAACAAAATCAAATGCTCAAAATGGAAATTGTTTTCTCAAACTAATAAAATTATACCAATTAATCTCTTTTTGTCCAGGAAGCACCGTTCAATGCAATGTTCTGATTAGATTTTTAATATGAACATTCATATGAAAATCTATCAGTATATGGCCAGCTTTAGTCTGATAGCTGACTTCTGAATAGTTGCTGCACACCATGACTTTACACTTGTTTATAAATGTAACCATTTGTATAATAAAAATATAAAGGTTTTAAAAATATACAGTTAAATGACTAAAAAAAAACCAGTAACAGTAATAAATAATATTTTTTGGGGTATTTGCAGAAAAGTATACATAAATATGCACACACACAGTTACCTTTCCCATCTTGGATTATAATGTGGTGGCATGTAGAGAAATGAACAGTTAATTTATAGTTGTTACTAACAGTATACTTTGCATAACAATGGCTTAATTAAATAGAATGTAGATCGAATTGACAGAGTCAGCACTGTTCTCATCATAGGACTGAAACACAACAAAATCACCAACTCAGGCAACTTGTTTTATTTCCTCTGCAATACTATTTAAACTGAATAGAGTGAATGCTCAAACAGCTTTTGTTTATCAGGTAGTTGTTTTATAAACAACTATTTTTTTAATGTGGTTGTTTCATGAACTACTTAATATTAACAACCTGAGAAATTGGGTCTTCTGTAGCCTCAAAAAATATATTAAAACTTTTGTAGAGCTAATGCATTTTGCCTTTCTTTAGATGCTTAGGGGTCTATTCACGAAGCTGCCGAAAGATCTAGCCTTAGCTTCGGCCGATCCTTCGGCTAGCTTCGGCCCCAGGGCCCCTTCGGTTCAGTAGAACCGAAGGGCTGCTGTACGGGCTATTCACTATAACCCGTACAGCTCCCAAATGTGGCCGAGCTGCTCAGTCGAGCCGAATGCATATGCCTCGGCTCGGCCGAGCCCCGCTGAAAGCCGCCGCTGGGCG